TTATTTTCTTGTTTTGCAGCCAAAGTGCCTTAGTACTTTTACGTACGTCGTTGCTTAATGCTTGAAACAAGAATAAAAAAGAAGCGGACTCTCTACTTCGTTTTACTATTTGTTTCATCAAGTCATTGGCTCGTCTTAATGGATCTCGTACCATCTGATCGAAAATGTTCATCTCTGGAAGCGAAAAGAGTGAGACTATCTTGTTCCGCTAACAAATCTATTAGTCTTTCATTGACTGTTCCAATTTCGAAAAGGTTTGATTTTAGGACATAATGGGTCATCTCTAGTTTTCAACCGTGTCGACGTGTATCTGTGTGTTCGTGTTTCGCTTGTCGTCACTCATATTCTCTCAGCTCGAATTTTTCCTCGCTTCGCCCGATCATACTATATTCATGCTTCATTTCTTCCTCCATTTCTTTCATCTTTCTTTCCTCTCAGAAATATCCCCGTGAATTTTTTATACTTTACTCCGTAAATTGCGAAAATGGTTATAAGATAAATGTATATAGCTGTAAAATATTACTTATCTTTTACAAAGACAATTTCATAATTTATTTTTAATTATTTTGTAATTATTTTACAAGTAAGTAGCTGATTGATTGGCTGACAATAAATCACGACTAGAACCGTAGCAAGAGCCTGGCGAACTAGGTGGTTCAGAGTACAAGAGGATTGCAGAATACAAGTAAGAATATTATCAAATCAGGTAATGCCTGAAGTTAAAGGCAAATTGGCCCAGTTAGACTTCCTGCAGTTTTAAGATACATTTTACGTTCCACATTTTCAACTATTACATTTGTTCCGACGAATTATACGATAGTTTCGCACGGTTATAAAAATTATACAGAAGATGCAAAACTCTCAGTATGTATATAAATGCCGCATAACGAACAATAAAATAAGAAATTAAATATTGAAGCATCTTTTGCATAAAAAACAATAAGAATTTGATAAAATATTAAATTAACAATGAGTTGATATTCCCAGATGTAAATCGATAAATGCTTACTTTAGTCTTCACCTGCACAAAGAGTCTGTTTAGTAATCGAAATATTGAATGTTGATGAATAAGAGTTTGTGACAAAAGATGGTCCCTTAAACTTTTGAAATAAACTCGGTTTATAAAATGATTTAGAAGGTATTTCCGCAATTAAAGCCTACACTGATATTGATTTATGATATTCTCTGATAAGATAACGATAAACCGTACTGCAAACTGGCAGGTTTTCTCAAACTTCTAAACGTACAATATCGCGGGTAACATAACTGACAGAAGTTTGATTTAGCGCTTTTCTATATTTTTTAAAGATTCTCTGAATAGACATTGCAATATTTAGTTTATTTATAGCAAAGTGACAATAGAGCTGACAAATTCGAGCCGGGGAAATAATGTCGACGCACTTTCCGCGATCCCTCACATTTCTTTTCTCTTTTTCTCCTTGCACATAATTGTCCGTCCAGTCACGACAAAACGCGTGGCAACGCTCCGATCCAATTAGTCGATTACAAATGAAGCGGTGTTACTATTAAATTATTGCACATTGAACGAACAATTATCGCCGAGTCCTTGGCTACTGCAAGACCCTCTTTTCTCTTTTTCATGAATGCTAACAACAGCGGCCAGGAGATTCATTAAGTCCTACTTCATTACGAATTAACTCCCTCTCTCTCATTGTTTCTCTCCGTTGTGTCCATGTGTACATGTGTACTTTCGTACGGGTTCTCCGTGTGTTCCGTATGCATTTATACACAATAATATGAATACATATATGTAGAATGCTCTGCTTCTCTATTTGTATCTTCTTTCAGCGAATCTTTGAGTAAATTTAATAGTTTTCAAATATTACAATAATTAAGACGAAAACCATTTTGTTATATATATGTCATATAAATATTTGTTGTTATATTAGTATTTTTGGCTTTAACAATATTTTAATTAAAAGTGTAATTACGATAGTGAAAATATAGGAGCTGTTTTAAGCTGATCAAAGAATTCGCGGATGAAAGAAACGGCGTAAGTAACAGAGCCACTCCGTATGCATATTCATTTATTTATTTATATATATTTATATAATATATATGTTTCTCTCATTAGTGCCTATTTATTGTTAGTCAAGGAGGAATGTAGTTGTAATGGTCATGTTGGGTTGAGCGAGATAAAGAATCGTTCAGGCCAGCCGGTACGTTGATTGTCCGGTGCCTGGCTGATGTAACGGGAGACTCTAGAATAGGCACGGCGAGAAAGTGTTTGCAATTATTCCCGTGCATCGCTCGGAGTTAAATGATTACGTTTAGCTAGGCCCTTCTTCGTCGCGGTTACGGCTAAGAACGTAATCCCTAAAATTAGGTGGGCCAAGTGTCCTCTCGCCTGTTCTCGCGTCCTCAATTATCTCGGTTATAATAAACATCGCTTAGGCTATTGCTCGTAGGCGAGTTGCAAATGCTTAACTTCTGGTCTGGTTATTATTCGGCGCTACGCTCGAATCGTGTGTGATAATTTCGAATGTCTAACGTGTAGTGTTTATGACGACGTCAACAACCAGCTCGCGTTTACGCGTCGATGTGAATGGTGGATTGTGTCCGTGTTTAGGGCTTTGACGGATTTTGGTTGCTCTGAGATCTGCGAATGCGTAAAATGATGCGGCAGTCAGTAACATATCAATGACGAGTTGACTGAAAGAAAGAAGAGAACGCAAGTGACATTTTCAGAGACTCGGTACTTTCTATAATTATCATTAACTCGTTATATTAAATAAATAGCGATAACAAATTAAGTTTTCAAGGGGAATATTCATCGTATATCTATATCGTGAATTCAATTCACGCGCGCGCGTTTCGCTACGAAAATTACCTTACATTTAATTCTGCAAGAACCAACTCTATTACAAATGCACACTTTGCGAACGGGCGAAATGCTGAAGAACGGCAGTCTTCCTGCGGAACTTAGCACCGAGAGAGCTTAATTTATCCAGCGCAGACAGGAGATTAAGGTCCGTCGATTTCGCGCATTTCATGGGTCGCAAAATGCACGTAGGAAAAAAGTCTAGCTTAGCCTTCCGTCGTTTGGGAACGGAGCAGCGGACATACTTGATTTTTACCTCGTGAGGACAGAGGAAGGTCCGATCTTCCTCGGTACGATGGCCTTTTAACTACAGTATGCAATATATCTAGAAAATTCACTCTTTCAATTGACATTATTCCGTAGAAACAACTGTTTTACACAACTGTGATATAAGAACCAAACTGTTATCGTTTAATTATTACCTACTATCACTCTTTATTCGGTATCTCGAGGGTGAACGATTGCCACGTAACGATGCTAGAAATTCTTTTATTGCCATACTGTGAGTTATAAAGCTGTCTCTCGGCGGTGCATTCCGGCACCTCATTCGAAAGCCGTGAATCGAGCATAGGTCCGTCTCCTGCAGGATGACTAAGGATAACGTGGGGAATCGGATCGAGCCGAGTCCTCGGAAGTTAGAATTCTCTTCCGGTTTAAGGATCGCGTCTACCCTATTACCCTTAACGTACTCTCTCACACAAGCGCAACTAGTTTTATCGCCGGATACGCACGCTACGATGATTGTATATGTTCCGGGGCCTCATATCGCTTATATTGTCACGAGATATGATCCTCCATAGTGGATATTTCTAGCGTAATAGAGCCACCCGCGTTGTCATCGGCGTTGACGACTGACAGTCGGTGCGTTCAGTTGGAGATATCGATGGATTCGCGGGAATTACTCATATATAGTACACGGTATAATATAATACATACGTTTTTACTTTTCTTTATATGTATATTATATATATATTTATATTTATATTATATATGTATATATAATATACATATCATTATGTGTGTGTCTCCTCCCCTCCGTTGGGGATCAATTCCTTACGACAAACATATATATCGCCCCTGCTTTGCCGTCGTTTACGTACATACATACATACAAGTGTTTATGTGGTTTAGCGGAACATCAACAATTTACTTTATAAGGCCCAAATATTGTGCGCTACTTGTTCAATCAAATACGCGAAAGGAGCTTTTTCTGCGAAAGCTAATCTGCGCCCTCGGTTCGCTCGATCATGCTCGATCCACAGGGGACGCGCGGCGTCGCATCGATTCGACAATCGGTACTGAGGATCAACATCGTCAAAGCAGTCGCCTACGAGCCCGTCGATTCGCGTGGGCTCGAGATATTTCTGCTTGGAGTATTCCAGCAATTTTCGAGCTGTAGACAATTATTTGTCGCATCTACTTGACACTAGTACGTTATGTTGTTTGCGCATATGCGCCTTGTTGTAACTTTGATGATTACGTCAACATATGACGGTACATTGTTTACGCTTGGTATGATCTAATTGCAAAGTATGTATTACTCTTTACCCGCAAATCAGCAAGCGCGGTGTCAATACCCAGCGAGAAATGACTCGTCGCTCGATGTCAAAACGATGTCGAATCGACATTGACATTGTTCGACGAATCATTTCTCGCTGGGTATGTGACAGTTTCCCCTAAATAACAGTTTCGCGATCGTTGCAGAGCAGTTATGTAAGGAAGAACAAATCATTTAGAAGCAAATTTCGTTTTTAAATTGCATATTACGTGACGCACCTTATAAGCTTCACAAAAAAATAGCCTTCAACTCTTCGGTGTGTGTACTCTTATTCTCATTCTTATCTAGGTACTTTGCCTTATTAATTCTAATTTATTCCGTATCCAATAGAAAGTTCCTTTGTTATGTACGTAATGCGCTTTAAAAGGTGTAGCGTAAACAAGTTTTGTAAGGAATCAACGTCCGGACAATGTCCGTGAAAATTTGCAAACAAAATCAGCTCGGATTAACCCGCACCTTTGGCTCGGCAGGACCGCATGCTGTTACGTCTATTGTACTTAAAAGTTTTGCAAGTTGATCATCGCGCGCAAACTCTCGATGTTGATTCCGAAAGTTGTTTCCGCACCGATTATCTCTCGATTAGCGTCGCGGTCTGTCGACGCTCGTCTGGTGACGGCGATCAAAGGCGAAGAAGGTCACCGCAGCTCGAGCGAGCGATTCAAGCGGAAAAGCGAACGTCCTGGACGCGTACGCGCTCTCAGCCGTAAGCCCGGCCCGCGGCTGTTCTAGGTCCGGATGTCAATAGCGACTACGTGATTTGACCCGCAAACGACTCGATCGCAAACGACACGAGCTATCGATAGTACTGGTGATCTCGATCTTGGCGTTAGAACCTGGAGCCTAGCGGGACTAGGGCCAAGGGTCAGCGAGGCGATCATCGATCTAGCTCCGTTGACGGAGCATTATTCCTCGGGATCGCCGGACACGGATTCCGGGAACAGGCTCCAGAGAGAGAGAGAGAGGAACGAATCTTCCTCAACGCGGCGACGCCGATCCTCCGCGAATGTCGGCTGTACCGCCAACGGTCCGCCAGCTCCTTCTCATCTTCGCGTTCTGTCGAGCTTTCATTTTTCCCTTTTCTGTCGACGATGTAACGGGCAACGCGCGTCGGACGACTGGGAGACTCCTCGGGTTTCCCCTCTGGAATGCCTTGCCAAGTGTGTCGAGTTCGTTCTTTTCTATCTTCCTCTAAATCCACGGCCCTCAAGTGGCGCTGTCAAGGACAATGGATTTCCTGCTGTCCTTGCGACGGCGACCGACCAGCTGGCGGATTTGCGCAGGGACGCTCGCGGGCGGTAGATTGGGCTCCTCGTTCGTTGAGGTTGCCAGGACCACTGCGAGAGTCGGCGACGACGACGACGACGATGACGACGAGGAAGAGGAGAAGGCGGTGGCGGCACTGCCACGGTGATTGACGGTGTTCGACGACGAGCCGCGTCGCGATGACGTCGACCTGCCACCGACGGGCGTCGCGGGCGGCGGCGTCGTCGCCGACGGCGCCGCGGACAGTTCCGATGCCGTTGACGACGTCGTCGAGCCTCCGACGGACTGTTGGTGTCTCGTCGTCGACGATACTTGCTGCTGCCGTTGCTGCTGTTGCGACCTGATGGCGTGATAGGCCATGTCCTGCTGAGCTTGCGGCATGACCGAGATGTGCGAGTCCGTCGCGTGACCTTGCCTGAGATCGTGGGGGTTGCCGTTGCTGATGCTGGAGGATGACGAGTAGTGCGAGGGCGACGAGACGGGGGAAGTGGTGCTCGCGACGGAAGTGGTGGTGGTGGTGGTGATGGTGCGTGTGGTGCCGGGTGTGCCGGTGACCGCTGGTAGAGCTGCTTCCGGTGCACCGTTGACCAGCGACTGGACCGCAGGGTCTGGTGGATGGCGTACGAAAGGCTCAGGAACAGCGACTGGATAATGTTGCTGCTTGTCGTCGCCCAGATCGCCAGCGCAGCCGTAATCGTAGCTGCAGCAAAGCTGCCCGTCCTACGGAGAGGTTCGTGGGAGACTGGGTTAGCCACGGCGGAGGGAATTAGGCGCTTTTCGTTCATAATTGTCGACTTGGCTCGTCGACTCCGGATTGGAAAGTCTTGGCCGGCGTGATTCACGACAGAACGCGGTCGAGAAATGAACAGGTCGAAAATCAAAAATCCAATCGTATGGCATGGGCGTAAAATTGCTTTTCGATCGTGAGCCGGTTGTGTTTTTCGTATAAAACAATATTTCTTGATCTGTTATTTGGAGTTATTTGATATTAAAGTAGCGTCTTGTACCAGTCTGAATTACTTTCTAACAAAGAGAGAAGTTTTGTCAATTCTGAATAATTTTCAATTCGCACAAACGGAAAATTGTTAAATCGTAAAAATTATAATTAACCCATTTCTTGAAGCTTTTGCGATATTAGAAATTTTATCGACAGATTATTTTACCAATTCCTCTTTCAATGAGTGACGTCACCTGATAAAAAAACTCAACAAAGTTTTATCAACAAACGGGTTAACTATCAGTCCGTTGCTTGGCGCGCCAAGACTTTCCAACCTGTAGTAATGAGGCAGGTACTTGTGTCCATAGTATGTAATTCATTGTTTCGTAGAACAATACCGCATCAGTTCCGCCGTGGCGAGATAATAAAATCAACGTGCAAGAATCCGACCCCCGTTTTACTTCCCTTGAAACTTCCCTTGCGACGTTCCTCACACCCGCGTCGGCGGCGCCCTTTTCTCTCGGTCAAGAGGACGACTTGTAAGTGGTCATGATCACAATTACAATAACTGTAAGGACACTCATGCTGACATTCGAAAGGGGGGCAAAACAATGAATTTCCATAGTATGTCTTTGATACCCGGCGACAAATCTCTAAGTTTCCACTACTTTCCACTACGATCCTGGCAGGATACATTTTGTAATGCTGATTTTACACTGACAATTTGCATAATATTCGCGCAACGTTTATCGATATAAAAAAATCTAGGCTCGACAGCTCTGGATACTTCGACGATAAAACCTAATTAAGGTCCGAGATTTTACGCGTCGCGGCTTACTTCTCGATCTTTTTGCCTTATCATTCGCGTCTTGGCGCGAGACATCTCCGTCTTGCCAGGATCGGCGCTCGGTAAAGTCGATACAGAGAAAGAAAGAGACCTCTTGGTGCGTCTACCGAATCTCGAATGCAGATCAGAGGAGGGTGCAGTGGAGGCTCAGGTGCGACAACGACGCTTTTAAAAAATAGCAAAAAAATATGAAAAGAGAAAGAGACATAATAAAAACAGACATAATCGCGGATCCAAGACGCAGTCCGTATATGTGATGTGTGCACATATATACATATATGTGTGTGTGTATGCGTGCGCGCGCGCGTGTGCGTGTATGTCACGTGTGTCTGCCACCTCGTGCGCCATGCTCCTCGATCGACACGAGAAAGATCCGCCGACCGAAACGATCGTCTTCTCTTTTATCTTTTTGCATGAACGACCGTGCGTCTCGGAGTGTGCGTAAGTATATAAAAAAAAGTAGAAGGTGAAAGAGAGAAAAGGTGAGAGAGGGGATAGTAGGAAGTACGCGTGAGAGGTGCGTCGACGCATGCAAATTTCGAAAACGTGCAATCGATCTCCTCCCCCATCCCCCCCTCCCACGGTTAAGGTAGGATAACACGCCGTATTCTCGTGCGATCCGTCGACGAAGTCGTTTTCGCGCGATCCTGAACGATAAAAGGACATGCAAACGATTTTTCTTCGCGGCGTCCCATGAGCAGACGCTATTTTTAGTAGCACGAATATTTAAAACAAGGGAGTTTAGATAAGGAGTCGAGTAAAGTACAAACGCGAAAGGGCGTCGTTAATCAACCGTCTATATATAATCGTAATACGATAAGAGTTAGATCGTACGATCAACTTCGCAAACAGCGCGCGATAGCGATTATATCAAATGTCGAATAGTCGGTGGTTTTCGGTAGGTACATTTTGCCGAACTAATTTGAAATCCACTCGGAAATCTGGAAGATCGTCAACGTCACGTCGAGAACACTCTCCCTCGAATGCAATCAGATGCACATGCTCCGTGCTTGCGATACATTTATATGCCCATTGTTGAATAGTGACAAAGCTCTGATAAGGGTGATTAACGTGCGGCGATTAACGTAGACAACAAGTCCTAGTAAGTAAGACGTCAAAGGGAAGAGAAGGGTCAGTGAAAGAAGAGCTACCAAGTATCGAGCGAGGGTTCGGAGATATTGGAAGCTTGAAAAGAGGCAGAAAGTCCGGGATTAACGAAACAGGACAGAACTGTCTAAGCAGGTGGAAACGGCGGAGGGGAAAGGGACGAAGAAAGCACTCGAGCACTCCGTTAGTCGTAGTACATTAATCAGCACACAATAAAGACAGAAGAGAAGAGGCAGGTAGTAGAGATTATAGGTGAGGTAGAAGTGACGTGATTACCGATGCACACAACACGCGCTATTGCTCACCAATTGGGCGCAGTACGGCACCTGCAAGGATACCCATTGTTAGGCTATATGAGGTTAGTCATCACGGGCAAGGTGGCGGGGTTAATTTACACAGCATAGTCACAGGCAGACAATGTTCCCCCCCCCCCCGGCCCTCCCTCCCTCCTATATCCCTCCCTCGCTATATTTCTCCTACATACGTGACCAGGACCTCTCTGGACGCCACGTCGATCCACGTTCGCGATCTCGTCGCGGCTTAGGAGATCGATATGATTGGCCTAGGCGCCAGCGGAATCAGTCGAATTCCACTCTGGTGGTCCACGGCCAATCGTTGCCAATGTCATCCACTGATGAAATCGTGGTGGATCGTGCCGCCGCTCTTGATTGAACTTGCGGCGGCACGACGCTAGACTGCCGTCGATCGGGCGCGTTCAGGCGATCGCGAATCGGATCGGCGGGATCAAGGTCGTGGTGCACGCTCGATCACTATGAGGTCAGGTCCGTTTTCTATTAATCGTCGCCGGGCGGTAAACACTAATAAAATGATCCATGCAGGGCCGACCCGAAGCACGCGCGATCGTGAGATCTCGGCTCAATCTCGGTTTGGTGTATATATGAGGTGTTCTGGATTTACCGTGTTATCTTTCAGCCGCACTTCGAGAGGGAGAATTTCGATTGCGATTGGGAAATCAAGTTACTGTTGAAAGCAGAACCAGGGAAATTAAGCCGTAGAGGTAACAGATACCTAATCTTAATTGATTTTCAAAGAGCTTCAGTTGGGATTTCGTGTCGGCGTAGCTGCAATATTTTCACAAACATTCGCTCGTATTCAACTTGTTAAGAAAAGATCGCGACTCTCAAACACTTTTTACGATTTGAAAGATAAAACGATAAGTATGAAACACCATATACAACAGTTCATCGTCACCCTAATTAAGTAATCTAAAAAAAAATTAAATTTCACAGAGAATATACAAAAATAGGAATCGTGTTTATGTGCGTACGTGTGTATAAGTTTAGAATTTCCCAAGTTTCGTAGGAAATCTAAATTATAAATTGCTAAACTATTGCTAAAACCATCCGTCCCAATTCAATATGTTATTATCTATTTATAGTTTCTGCAACTAAAGATCGAGTTAAGCAGATGTGTCTGAGATACTGTCTCGTTTGATATTAGCAATAGGATGACGATGACGAGAGCGAAGCACTCGGCGAAGAAGCGGAACGAGTTCTCTCGAAATTCGAAGTTTCCTTTTACGATTTCGTTGTATATACGAACCGGGATTCTCACGGCCATGGCAGTATTCGATCGCATTCCACATCTACAGTTTCTATACATGAAGAGTGATATTTTTTCCATTGCAAAATACGTAAGGATTTATTTTGCCAATCATGCTCTTCTAGATATCTGCAACGTCCAATTAATTGCGGTATTTTTCTTTACACTTTGCTCATAAAATACCGACATCTTGGCCTTTTTGTATAAAAGGACGTAAGAAAAGTTTTAAGTAGATTTTAAATGTTTTGATCACTATGGGAATGTGAATCTTGAAGAATAAATCATGATAGAATTATAGAAAATGGATTTACAGCTTTAGAGGGGAAATCATTTGATAATCTAAGATCTCTACAGATTTAACAATCTAAGATATCTATTTCTCTTCTCATACACGGAGAAATGAACGACGAACGCTGCCACGTGCAAGGCAGGCAACGAAAAAAGAAGGAACGAATAACATTTATCTTAGGCTAGCTTAGGGACGCCCCTGAATGTGTCTAACAATGTATAAAAATAGGAAGTTTGAATAATTTACAGTGGTGAGTACAGCGCTGAGATCGTATAATGACAAGGCCAGCACGACGCATTAGTGCACGCTGAGAGAGAAGATAATGTTATAACACTGATAATATTAATATGATACTATATACACTTTTTATATCATATATACATATGTATTTCTTTAAACGAAATACAAAACTGAAGCGTTCGCGTATAGTTCCAGTCTAACTTGGTTAGTTAAATTCATGCGAATGTAAAGTTAGGTTTCAACACACACGTTACGAACGTTATTTCTCTCCTCTCAGCATACGGTTAATAAAACTTCAGCGTTCAGCTTTGCAAAATCGATTCGCGTTAATACACACCGCAAAAACAAACGGCATACTGCACGAAAAAAAAAAAGGAACAGTCAGTATATGTACCTTGTACTATTCGAGGATTACCTACTGACGACAAGTAAAAACAGACAGACAGAGAGTAAAGAGAGTGAGTAAAAGTAAAATGATGAATGGATGCTTGTGTGTATAATTTCATGTTAGCATGGCGGACAATTTTGATCGTATGTACCAAGAAGGTGGAGACTTTCGATCTAATAGATTGTAAAATGTGTGGGTATTTATGATTCGGTAGCAATTGAAGCAAAATTGATCTCCCGTCACTTGAATATACTTTTGCAAGGAATACTTGTTCGTCTCTGAAGAGAAACTAATACGCAGAATTAATACGTAATTTTTGGCTGGCGATTTCTATTCAAGTGCACTAGAATAGAGCAAAAATCATTCTGTACGAAAAAAATGGCAGCGTTAATGAGAATAAACGGTGATTAAACGTTGCGGACAAAATCAAATGTGAAACGAACGGAAATGAAATTGACCGATACGATATTTGCGTTGATGCCCCGCCATGTATATGTACGTATACATATTTTGCGTATGGACGTCTGCACAGCAATTTTCTTGCATCTTACGTTGGCATAGTACAGCGAGCGCAATTGAGTAGGCACATGACAGATCCACGGCTAAATTGAGGCAATATTTCCGTTCATTTACTGACCTTGAGCTCTTGAATTCGCGAGAGAAGTAAGCGCGATGGGTACCAAGATCTCGTTGGGATGGTTGACGTTTCATTATCTTCGTTGCTTAAATAATTGTTGCGTCGTGAACGATTGAAAGATTCAAAAATATACCCCATCAAACAATTTTACGACTGGCATTATCTCCTTGCGATACCGCAATTACTTTTGGAAAGCACACGAAAAGTATATTATTTTATTATATTGAACGTGCGTAAAAAAAATGTGTAGACAACTAATGG